GCAAATGGGCTAGGGAGGATTGACAGGACGACCCCGCATGTCAGCAGTCAGGGAGTGGGAAAGGGAACGGGAAGGAAAGGGGCCTGGATACAGCCAGTGAAAGAGGGGTGAAAAAGGGTAGCAGACCCGCAGCATCGTGTGGCTTTGTTTCGAGTGATTCTCAACAAAGCGCACTGCACTTAATTCTCTTTACGCACACACACACACCGACACACACATACACTCAGGACCACACACATGAGGGCAGGGCAGACATGTATGACAGGCTTTTTATGCCTAAGTATCTTAAGTTGTCAACTCGAAAAGGCAAAAGAAATCCTTTAATTTGCAGTAAAATGCAAAACGCAGCGCCACTTTGTCACAGCCGCCGAGGGTTGGATGTATCCAAAGGGGGTGGGAGGGGCGTATATGTGTGTGTGGAGTGGGTGTATCTCTGCGAAGGCAACAAGTCAGCTTCGTCTCCGGAGGAGCGTACATTGGACTTTGCCACTTGGCATGCGAGCGCAGGCGAATGGCGCCTCAAGGTATGCAGTAAATTAAAATGCAGTGACAGTGGCGGGCCGTGGCCCAAAAAGGGGGTCGTGAGCTGTGGTGTGTGTGTGGAGAGAGGGGTTCCTGAGGAGCTGGCGGCAAAGCAGTGACATGCCTTGTGCATGAGGGTTGCACTCTCCTTTGCACTTTTCACATTAAAAACTTTTGCCCGCAAGCCAACGCAGACTCCCACACACAAACACATGCCATACTTTCTAAAGAAGCACTGAGAGAAATAATTTAAATAAATGCATCTATAAATTTTCCATCATAATATCATTAATTATGGGCTTAAATATAAAAATATTTGATTCCATACATAATATATGAATTTTAAGGCATTAATAGGAAAGCTTCTCTAGAATGGTTACCAAAAAATCGCTTTCTTTCGCCTTTCTTATACAATTTAGACTACTTCAAATAAATACCCCCATTTTCCCTAAGTGCACATGTGCCGTAAAGGGAAAGACGACTCATGGAACTTCAGTTTTGACAACATACCCGCTTCCACACACACACACTCCCTGACAATTACAATGCATTGAGCCGTGAGCGTGCTAGAGAGTCTTTGATTTAGCCAGGTTTACTAGCAAACTTCCACGAGGCCAAAACCCTCTCAGGCACACAACTCTTAAAACACACCTCGCTGGAGCTATTTGCATATGAATGGCAAGCAGGTGGAATGCACACACACCCACGCATATCGGGTGGGAGAAGTGCTGCCTGGCTGGCCAGCGCTTATGGCCACGTTAATGGCAAACTAAACTGCAAACTTTGCTTTTGCCCCGACGCACGCATACGTAATAAAAGGTGTAAATGAGCAAAAGAACCGCCTGCCACCGAGCAGCAGAAGGTGAGTGCGCGGACGAGGGCCCAAGCTGAAAGTCAGCCAGGTGAACGAACAGGCAGCAGCAGCAGACATGGACTTACGCCTTGGCCCATTATAAGGGCCACTTGCTGCCGACCAAGAAGACAGATTCGCATTTGTTTCGCCAGCAGCGAGCACAGTGGGTTCTGCAGTGGCTAATTGAAATTTAGGTTTATTGTTTAAAAGAAAGAAATTTGAATTTGAGTTAAAGAAATCATTTATTAAGATATTTTTGCAATGAATAATAATTATAGTAGGTCAGACCAACTTAAAGATAAGTGGAAGCAACATAGCAATTATGACTTGATTTGAATTATAATCTCCAGCAAGTCCAGCTGAAAATTGTAAGTATTCCCGTAATAGTGAATAGTGCTTTGGATACTGGATGATATCGAGGCAGTAGCATGCTTTTTTAAAGGTTGTAGCTGTAATATATATTTGAGAGTTATAAATTCCTTTTCCTGAATGAAATTCTAACTTATAGTTCTCTAAGTATCAGCCTTAAAAATCATTTCCAGAAAATCATTAGCTATATTTCCAATTAATTTCTAATTTTCAAGGATTCCCTTCAAGCGAAAATGTCACCTTTAATGCCACTGTGTTGTGTGTGAATTAAACTAAATTTAGCGCCACTTTGAGTTACGGCAGCGACGGTGACGGTGACGATGACTTGGTGGTTGTGGCAGGAGCAGCAGCAGGAGCAGGAGCAGCAGCAGGATATTACAATACGAGAGCCGGAATAGTCACGGTCACGGCGAGGAGGTGTTGGGGCACAGACCGAGGCTTGGCATTGCAGCGCAAGGACATCATGTTTGCAAATTTATGTAGTTGTAAGTTGGACCAAAGGAAATGCCATAAAAAATGGAAGGAAGAATTGTGCGGGCAGCGAACAAACCGAGCGACGGATGGATGGCAAGCTCGGACGCGTTTAAAGTGCAATTAGCGCACGTAATTGTAATCGAGTTGGCCAGGAGCCCACCTGCCATGGCTCGGACCCAACTCCGACTTCAAGTCTGATTCCAGCAACTGCTACCTCTCCTGCCAACACATCTCGAGCTTTCTGCTTCGTTTGCCCATGGGGCACTTCGCCTGCGTTTTCCGTATTTTTTTTCGGCAGCTTGCCTCTTTTTTAAAGGCAACCGGGGAGCTGTAAATAAATTTGGCACTTAATCATATTTACGGATTTTGTGGGCACATTTATTTATGCGTCCCACAGTGGCCCCAGAGCTACTTACTGCACTTTGCTCTGGCCCACCTCCAAGGATGCCATTTTTTGGGCATTGTGAATAATTTTTTTTTGTCGCGCCAGGATTTGAGGGGACACTCTAGGATTTCTTGGAACGGACGGAAACACAATACGACCAAGACCAATTTGTGGCCATTCTCAGTCGGCGGCATTTCTGCCTAATTATGCGTTCCCTTCACAGCATTGTCATGGTTATTTTCAGTCCCCGAAAAAAAAAGCCAAATCCCAAGCACCAAATCCTAAATGGGAAATGCGAAATGCTAAATCCAAAATGTGTACCTGCCCACGAGGCTAATTAGGCACAAAGCGTTGGCCATTGTTAGGCTGGCTTTGTTATGGGCCACTCCTGGCCAGGTTCACTCACCTGTTCGCTTCCGCTTTTTTGGCTTTATGAATATTTCAGCACTGTAACGAGCCTTGGAACTGATTTATTTGCCGTGTTTGATGGGTGTTCAAAATAAATAAACCAATTTTGGTTCCGGCATTGTTTTGTTTTCCCTGGGATATCCTGCGGTTGCTGTGGCTTTCGTTTAATTTACGTAAGTGTTGCACTTTCGTTGCCGCACTCTCGATGCTTTGCATAATTTGCGGTGTGTTTTGATTGGGTTTCAATATAAAATAAACTAAATTGTGCGAGTTTTTTTCAATTTATTTAAATACAATTAAAGAGGGTTCCTAGCGGAGATCAAAGTCTAGATGGAATAGATCACATTTCAAATAGATGCTTTGTCTGTGTTTATTTCACGTACTCAGTCCCTGCTCATCATCATATTCATCGATATATTTTTCACTATTGTTGCTCCGTGATTATTGCTAAGTGCATGTGGGTGGGGGAAAACGGGAAGAAACTGTCACTTGAATGCATTTTCATCACACCTCATTACGTTTCACTTGCATCTGCAATTGTGTCACGGCGCTGCTACTGCCTTTCGCTGCCATTCGAGCCTATGAATGGAGGAGGTCCTGGAAACTGCCGAGCGAATGGATTCGTTAGCTGAATGGGCTGTGAGTGTTTTTAATTGAAAACAATAAAGTTCTGTTGGGGGAACTGGGCCCACACCCCCAACAATGCATTAAATGTAGCAAGTTGTATGGGGAGGTTTTTTTCAAAGCGAAAATGTAATGCTCTTTTGGGAGGTTAAGGAATAGCTTTACAAATAGCTCTTGAAAATGGATAAAAACTTTTTCTTAGATTAAAAAATCCTGGAATAAATAAACCAAAATAAACTATAATTTCAATAAATAAATATTTTGTAAATTCCATAGCTATTTCTATATTTAAAATCTCATGTCTTGTCGCCTTGCAACCCGAGTAAACCCATAGATCTACCCCTTTTTCAATACCCTTCTCCTGCCAGAAGAAAGCTGAGCATTCGATGGATTGTTCGGTTCGCTTTCTTTGTTCGAAGCGTAAAAGGCGCGCCTCCGATGGAAATGGAAATGAATGTGGAATATGGAATATGGCAGCAGCGGCCGAGGTAGATAGAGATTCAGAGGCAGAGCCCGCCATAGATGGATAGATACGAGTCGTGTTCCGAGGCACACAATACACGAAATGCGAATGCGAAAGTGATAATTAAAAATCGCGCCATATATAGACGCTGGTTACCAGATACTGTTGTTGTTTTCCCCGGCATGAAATGGTTATTGTTTATGATTTTTTCCCGCTGCCGGGCAGGATATTCGCATTGCAATCAACACTGCCTGGGGGGGGAGAGTGGGACCAGGGACTGGCATGTGGGCCGGGAGCCGCTTGAATGAAGTGATCAATGCGCCTAACAATGATTGACGCCATTTCCCGCGGAGGGAGACAATGGAAATCGGTGAAGTGGCGGCGGCGATATGGTGGGGAGCCGGTGCCTGTCGAAGATGGGCGGATGAGGCTGACAAACAATTATGCAAAAATTGCAAACGATTGCAGTTTTGAGCAGAAATTAATTTTGCATTTTTAATTTTACACACACAGCCAAGGGCAGGGGGCTTAAAGTCAGGGGCAGAGCTGACAAGCTTCCGAGCGATGGAAGCTGCTTGAAATTGCTGCGACGGCAATCCGCACTGCTCACAAAGGATTGATAAGTGCTGGGCTAGGCCTACACGGCAAGAAAACTCGGTAGAAAGTATATGACAAACTGAATTTACAAAGAAATACATTTTTCAATAGGTAATGGGGAGCTTGAAGGGTCTTCATATCTAATTTGTATACAAAGCTCAAACTTCCCCTTTATTTTCCCCAGTGTAAAACATCACGCGAGCATCTATCGGAGGCGGAGCTCTCTATGGCCACGTACCCCTCTAAGGGTGGCCTGTTTGCTAGCTTCCAAAACCGAAATCATTCCGCAATCGGAAGACCCCATCGTTGGTAGTGCCAAGATGTTCCAAGCGGATCGCCGAGAGTTGGCCTGCCTGCCATCAGCCAAGCTGGAGCAGGACCATCAGGAGCAGCAGAAGGACCTGCACAGGAGTATAGTTGTAGTCCCTGAAACGGATCCCGAGCGCCAGGACTTGCAGTTCCCGGATATCTGGCTGCGCGACAACTGCCGCTGCCCGGAGTGTTATCTACCACAGACCCTGAGTCGCCTGCCCCAGCTGTGGAACAACCTGGACACCAGCGTGCATGTCCTGCGCCAGAGTGTGGATCTGCAGCAGCAGGTCCTGTACATAGATTGGTCGGATGGCCATGCTTCCCAGTATCCTTATGACTGGCTAAGAGAGCGGGACTTCTCGGCAGCGAATCGCAAGCGGTATCTAAGGGAATCCTATCGCCCCGAGCAGCAGTTGTGGAGCGGCCAGGACTTTGAGGCGATCCGGCGTACCTTTTACTTCCAGGAACTGGTTACAAGCGACTTGGCTTTGCGGCAATGGCTCCACCATTTGGCTGTCTACGGGGTGGCTCTTGTACGGGAGGCCCCACTGGAGATGGACGTCCTGCGGAGACTGGCCAACCGAGTGGGTTTTATGCGACGCACCACCTACGGCGAGGAGTTTAGCGTGCGGGCCCAACCGGGAGCCAGCAACTATGCCTACCTAGCCGCACCTCTGCCCCTGCACACGGATATGCCTTACTTTGAATACCTGCCCGGAGTGACCATGCTGCACACCTTGGAGCAATCCGCCTCACCTGGCGGAGTCAACCTACTAGCCGATGCCTTCTACGTGGCCAAGATCATGAGAGATCGATATCCGGAACAGTTTCGGGTGCTCTGCCAGACGCCTGTAGATTGGGCGGACAAAGGACATGATGGAGACCTGCACTTCCACAATATCTGGCGGGCACCGGTCATCAAGTGAGTGTGATCCTTAATTTTTACTTTAGCCCAGAAATCAACATCTCTTTATATATCCTTGCAGCTTGGATTCTGAAGGACGCTTTGTTCGGATTAACCACAGCATTCCTCAGCGCGACAGCCACTTTAGCGTGCCGCTGGAGCAGGTGCGACCTTGGTACGAGGCCATGGCTACCTTTGTGCGCCTGGCCCATGAGCACTCGTGCCGTTTCAAGACCACGCCCGGTGACGTGCTCACCTTCGACAACCTGCGCCTGGTTCATGGACGCACCGGATATGATGACACGGACCAAAATGTGCGCCACATCCTGGGCGCCTTCATCGATTGGGATATTGTCTACTCGCGGCTGAGAGTCTTGCAGGGTGTTGGAACCTCTCCCGATACCGCTTAGGTGACGCATTTGTATTTCCACGTATTAATTAAGAACATTAACCCCTGGCTGCTTCCTTTGCCACCTGCTGTCACCTTGATTGACACACAGACACTGCAGGCATAGTTTTAATGAAATTATTATCTTATATTCACATTTATACTGTTATTGAAAATTAACACTCAGTGACATTTTAAATAAATACCATTTTAATTGATTTCTGCCTTTGACACACATCAATGCTAATTGATGCTCTTTAATTGGGTTATACATGTGATTTTAAGTCATTCATGTGATGCTGCCCAACGGCTAGCAATAATCACTTGGGCTAATCAGAACCCCAACTTGAACATCTGGCTGATAAGTTATTGAATTTGACTAGGAATATGACGCTATATAATTGCGTTTGACTTGTTAAATAGTTATTGCTTATTAAGAATGTCAGCAAATAATCAACATTTAAATGCCTTTGTTTTCAGCCTGCTGATATATTTTTAAAAATTCGCAGAAATATTCCTCGAAATTATATTACCTCCATAATAATACGTACTGTTCAATATGTGTAAAATAGCCCCTTTGCTAGAATCAAACCTAGTCGGTGTAGCATTTTCACTTAGCAATAATGCCGACTAAGTTGGCTCTCCCCATCTCAGTGAGACAGCTGCCGGCGGCCAAACAGGCCACTTCAAGTGAAAGTCCAGCACACGTCATTGTTTACGCCGGACAACAAAGTGGCTTATCAGTGGCCAGTTGAGTTGAGTCAACAGTGTCTACACATACGCTGCCGCCCGGTTATCAATCGCCGACTTGGCAGAGCAGAGCTCTCGACTGATGGCTCCCGGCTCCTGCTTTCCGGCGTCTGTGTAAATCACACCCACTCACACACCTTTTGGATCCGCAGCCGGAAGACCGAATGCGACATACGGATTTTAACGGGACAGGAAGAAACTTTCGGTTTGTCTACTTGTCTTGGCTGCTGCCATGGGGTGTTTTTTTTCTGGGTATGTTTTTCGGTTGCTTCGGGTGAGCTTGGGTGCGGTAGCCCGCAGGCAAATCCTCTGGAAATCTTTTTATTTATGTCATTGATGCCACCAAAAACATAGCAATGGTAGAGGGTCAGGGAGCGGGAGAAAGCAGCAGCCGGGATTCCAAGTTGGAGCACATGAATTCGTACATGGCAGCAAGTAAATCCCTCTAATAATCCACATAATAAGCACTGGAGTAGCTTGTGGCAGCAACAGGCCGAGCCGAAAGGGTTGCCTGCGCGCCGGTGCCCCGGCTCTTGTTTATAAGTTCATAAAAGTCAACGAGCCGGCGTGGGTTGGGGAGGGGGCCGAGGCACATAAAAATACAAACAGAAAAAAAAAACGGGCCAAATGCAAACGGAAAATGGCCAAAAAGAAAAGTCTGAGCAAAGCCACCAGTCTCAAATCCAATTTCTTCGCCATGTGTGTGGGTTTCTAAAGGGGTTTTGCTGAAATTTTACTGCATTTTTGGGTTGGATCGTGGAGCAGTCATAATGTGTAATTGAAAACCTGCTCTGAATCGCACCCCTGGGTGATGTAGTACACCCTTCTCATCCAAAATGGGGGGAGGGGTGGAAAATGTGAAAACCCCTCTAATTGGCAGCATGGTCAACCGAGGTACAAATTGTGTGACAGACACGGAAATGTGGTCATTAGGTAAGGAAGTTAAAGGTAAAAGATAGGGGGGTATGTATGCCAAGATAACAGGGGTGAAAGATACAGGAAAATGTATTTATAATGAAATTATTTAAGAATTTAACCAAGAAATTTACATAAAATTTGCAAGCCTCTTAAGTCATATATACAATAAATAATCGAGCTGGTCTGCTGTAAAATCTAATAAGTTATTTTCATAAAATCATTAATGCATTTTTAGCTAATTTAAAAATCTAACAAAATTCCCTAAAACCCATTTATATACAAATAAATACATATTTTCTATAATAATTTATTTATTTCCCAAATCAGTGTCAGTAAAGTACAATTCCATCATCAGATTGACCCTTATTTTGTATTTTCTCTCCTTTTAAAGCCAGCAAAAGTCTATGAAGAAAGGGTTTTTCCAGCGCAACTCTTGCACAATGGCCAAACTAATACGCTTACACACAATTTCCACAATTTCCGCTCGGGAGGCCTGCCTTCTTGGCTGGCTGGCGGATTTCGGCCACGAGAATGCCAAGTTTGGCTGTCACAATGATAAACATGCGGCAATTGGCGCAATCATTGTCTGTCCATGAATTGAATTAAATCAACTGGAGTGCGACATGGCCCCCTCTTTGGGCTGACACTTGCAAAATCAGCGAAGGACATCTATATTTTCTAGGGTGTGTGCGCGATTTGTGTGGAAAATTAATGCCTTGGTTATGCTTGGCATGGCACCGAAATCAAGCCAAGTATAGGTTACAACCGATGATTGTCAGTGGCGTGGATGTGTGAGTTTGTGTGGGACGAACAAGGGTTAAAGGTGCTCCTTGGGTAATGCCCCATAATTCCGTTTCGTTTCCGTTTGATTCCGTTGCAGGACAGCGCATTTCGCTTATTAGAATCCGCTTGTGCTCCTCGGAGGATGTGTGTGTGTCTGTGTGTGTGTAGTCGTATCCTGAATGTGAGCTCTCTGATGCCGCTGGAGGGTAATAAATTCCGGTACGCCCCCCTCGTCCTGTCTTGGCAATTTCAAAGTTTATCACCAACGCGCGTCTGCAACTTATGTCGTCCTTTGGATCTGCTTCTTCTGTTCCAAGCTTCTCCTCCTGCTCCTCCTCCTGCTCCAGCTCTTGTTTGTCTGCACGTCTGTTGTGGTTATGTGAAATCACATCGTAAAAATGTCCAGGACCAAATGCCGTGTGTGCGAGTGTGTGTGGTGGTGGGGTGTGTGGGCTACGGCCAAAGCCCATAAGTCCTGCCTGTCTCACCTGAGTTTCTGCCGCTCGTGTGGCAACCCTTTCGCCATTCAATTTATAGATGCCGTCCATATAAATATTTATTTCTATGTGCAGCTGCCTGCCCCTTTGACACCACGCCGCGGCATCATTATTATTTTTATGCGCCGTGTCTTAAAAGCATTCCGCCGATCAATAAACCAGCGTCGTGCCGCCTTACTGCCAAGCATCCTGCTGCATCCTTTCCATCCATTGCGTCCTTTCCAATAAGCGAAAGTGGTTTTTGAACCCACCGCGTACGTGTGTGTGTGGGGGGGGGCCATCAAACAATTAAAGGTCATCCCAATTCCGATCCCCCAAAACGAAATGGTGCTGGTTCGCGTAATCCTAACTGGGCCAAATCCCGGCGAACACTGTCACGGTGGAATTAGCCGGTTGTCAGCACCGCTGCCAACCGAGAAACAATGCAAAATGCAAATAATTTTCCATTTAGCCGCCAGGCAGCCAGCGACATCATTTGGCATTTTTAATTAGGCTAACAGAGCTGCTATCGCACAATGCAGCAGGGGGCAGTAGACTATAAAAGCCATGTTAATGGAAACGAAATACATACATATTCTTCCGTGAGGTGAATATTTATATTTTGAGGACAGGTATATAGGTAAATCGCATTTTTCATAGGGGTTTATGTATGAACTTTTAATAAATACCTTGATTATAATGAAGGTAATATAAAGTATACAGGATATTATAATTTAAGTCATAAGTATAGTTAAAAGTAAATTTAGGAAATTATCTATTAATTGCATAAATGATATTATCAGAGAAATATCTCTCTAATTGAAGTACAAGGAGTTTAATATTCAGATATATTTGAGTTTCTAATAGCCAAATATACTTGGTAATTCTCAAATACTACAACCTTCGGTGTCCTAATGCCTTTCTTGGGTTTCACGTACAATTGGCTTAATTGCAGCCACTGACAGGCCAAATAGTAAATGGCAAAAATATGTAAATACCCATTCGGAGATGTGTATATATGCGTTATGTGAATAATTTCTACATTGCTACCATTAAGCAGAGTTTAGAATCTTTGAAACTGATGCAATGTAAATGCTGATGCCTGCCTGCAGCCACTCATAATGAGCATTCTCATGATGATGGTCATCATAATCTTCATTGCGGTGGAAACGTTGTAATTAGGGGGGCCAGGAATTGAGTTACGCTCTGAATTAATAACATTTCCGGCATTATAATTTGGACAATATATCACGGGTGTTATCGTGATGCCAGTGAAAGGGGCCATTGGCTGCCACAGCAGCAGCAGCAGCAGTAGAAGGGCCAACAGCCGATTGGCCGATGTTGCCTTGTGGCTTGTGGCATGCAAAACGTAACGGTAAATTGGTTAACAATTACACAAATCTCATAATGAAGTTAAGGGCTACGAGCCGGAGTCCACAGAGTTCGTCCTGGCAACAACCAGAGCCCGGAACATTTCCATCGCCTGCGGTCAGCAGAATTTCCTTCGTTCCCGTCCTTCCTCTGTGGGTATAACCTCCTCTCGCACTGGACTCCCTCTCTGTGTTAAATTGATTAGATGTTGTTGCTGTTGTTGTTGCTTTTGGGGTGGTGTGTGTGTGGGAGTTGGGGTGTTAGTGTGAGTTTGCCCTTAGCCATAGCTGCACTTACCAGCAGCCAATTTGCAGCTTTGTTCTCGAGTGTAACCCTTAACAGGTGTTGATGTTTGCTAAGTAGCCTCCTCCATCCTCCATCAGCACCACCCCTTCACGGCCAGCTGCACATTGCTTTGATTATTTTCTATTTTGTACAAATTGTATGCAAATAGTTGAGGTTTTCCCTTGGCCAAGGCTCTTGTATCCTTCCATCCGGAGACAGTTAATATTTCCCAACTAAAGCCGCAATATTGACTTTTCCACCTGGGCCAAATGAAGCAAGCGTTTAAGCCCTGGCCCTTACAGTCCTTACACTTTTACACCTTTCGATCCGGCCAAAAAGTCCTTTGTCCTCCGGCTGAACCCTGGCATACGGGCCGGGCTGTGCGTGAGTGTGTGTGTGTCGTCATCAAATGTTTGTTATTTTCCATAATAAATCGATATTAGTTTTTTTTTAAATTTTAAACACAAGGGATACGGGTCTTGCTAGTTGTT